AAATTCTTAATTCTACTGGACAACGCCTCGTGGAAAACATGAAGACCTTCATTCCACTGGAGAACTTTACCATGCAGAACGTCTCCAATAATCTTATTGCCAGCAATTACCGCAATCAATATGGAGTTTCTATTAACAATCTCCCCATTTTCATGATGGGCGAACGTGTAGAAAGAACAAGAACAGTAATTAGTGCCGATGGTAGACGTGAATCGCGTCGATACCACTTTTGGAGATTGGAACACCCATTCCTCAATGACAATGACGAAAACCAGTCAGTAGTTATCGCGCCAACTACGGTATGGGTAAGCGTGCTTTTGAGCATTTGGTGAACGAGCTTTCGGCACACGAAGATTCAATCTTGTCGCTCCCAATACTACTCCGATTTATAACCAAGTCGCAACGGCTTTATTTCGGTTGGCTAATTGCCATATCGGATATCGTCAAGCGTATATGCATTTGGGTGTTTCATCAGGTTTATTATACCAACTTCACCACAAGAACACTCAAAGCAATTAAGGATCAACTTGGTCATTTATTGACATGCCCATCAGACCCTATCAGAGCCAATGCCATTGCTGTCGGTTTTGGGAGTAGCACTGGGGATTGATTGAATGATGTGATTAGTGCTGTGGATGGTAAGAACTTTATCATTCACCAACCTTCCCCTCCAACCGTGGGTGCTATGTTCAGGGATAGAATGAACAACTATTCCGTGAAGCTTACTGCCGTATGTGGTTCTGCATTACGATTCAGGTATATCAAAGTGGGTGACTCAGTATTGTAGTATAATGATCTACGATGAAACAATATAAAAGCTAACACAACATATTTACTTCAGGAAGAACGCATGATGCTGCCGCTTTTCGATCAAGTGATGTAGAGTGAAATTCTTCGCCACCCAGACATTCACTTTCCTGACAACACGTTTATGATTGGTGACTCTGCCTATCCTTTGAGACCCAACTTGATCACACCATTTCCTGAGAGTCAATGCGTGTTAGACAGTCGCAAGCGTACATTCAATCGTTTACATTCATCTACAAGAATGGCGATCGAAAGAGCCTTTGGTGTTGGTGGCTCGTTGGAGATTTACTGGCAAGTACATTTACATGTTGGACCATTGAAGATCAACGAGATGATTACCGGATGTTGTATTTTACACAATATGTGTATCGACCTTGGTGATACCGGGTTTACCGACCTTGTTCACCTTCAAGATCATAATGCAGCTGTTCGAAGATGAAGACTCACCTGATGTAGGCGGTAGTAGCAGAAGGATTACCATTTTTGAGGGATTGATGAGACGTAGAACTAGACGTGGGGCGGCTAGAGGGGTTGAAGAGCAACTAGAAGTAGAAGTAGAAGAAGAACTAGACTTAGAAATAGAAATAATAATATAAACTTTTTGTTTATCCAATTTTATTTAAATTATTTTATCTGTAGAAGGATTGGAGAAGGGGGATTGTTGTTGCTGGTGGTAGTGGTAGGTGTGGGAGCACGAGTGGCATTGTGTTTTGAGCAATTGAAGCAGCAAAGAAATCTACCATTCGGGACATGGACAAAGTAGCCTCTCTTACCAACTCAGTATTTTGTCGTCTGTAAGCGTTGTTATGATCCAGTTGATTTCGTCGGTATGCATCTTCTTCAACCATACGAACATATCTGCCTCTCGTTCAGCAGCAATACGTGCACGATCGGTATTCCTTTCTTTAATTATACCAGCACGATCAGCTGCTCTCTCAGCCCGGCGTTGAGCTTCCATTTGGTCCATATGGTTTGGCATAAACCACATTGACACACTTACATTACGTGGACGTCTTGCATTTACCTGAGGAACGACATCCTCATCCTCATCCTCTTCATTATCATTATCGACTTCTGAATGACCACGACTTCTACACAACCAGGTGTAAACTTTAAAATTTCAAGACCATTTTTTTCCCAAAAAAAAAAGTAAAAATAGATATGAAAATTGTTTCCTTTTTGGTTTTGTGGTTTGTTTACGTTTCCTTGCTGTACAAACAAACAATAAAATACAAATACAAAATACGAAAATAGTTTTTTCTTTAAAATTGCCTTAAAAAGCGAAATTTATTTATATAAAAAATTGGCCCACAAAATCAGAAACCGGCAAAAAGCGCCTGTTTGCCCCCTCGGGGCTACGCAGGCCGACCAGGCAGGCTATTCAGCCTTGACAGACAGGGCAGACCACGTAGCCCAGACAGGCCACGTATGACACGTATAGCAGACAGTGAATTCAAGCTAGAAAACCCACGCAAAACTGATTCTGTTTGAGCTGAAGCTACGGAAAAAGGTATTAATGTGATATTCAAGTGTCTGTGGTAGATATTGTACTTACATTTTATCCGTGCTTAAGCAGTATCACGAGCTAATTTATAAAGTGAATAATGTGTTTAGTAAAATGGATAATGATTAATGTTAAAATTATAGTACCTTGTATGAAGCTTTACGCGATATATCTATTGACAAATGAAACGCGTTATGTATTAGTTTAGGATGTAAAATAATCACCAAGATATTACTTACGGTATTTCAAAGAGTAAAGAGCCTCTAAAAATAAAAAGGCGTTTGTTAGTGATATATTATTACAGGGAAGCACAGTACAGAATAAAGTATACCTTTATAGATACACATCTTGAAAGTAAAAGGGGATAGAAGATTATATTATCGCATAAGTCATGAAATAGCTACCTTTTTCGCGTTTGACTTGATTAAATTGACTGTGAGAAAATAATAGTAGAATGCCTTATGATAGTATTGTTAAGACAGATGTTCTATGACATACCATTGTTCATAAGCATCATAATATTACAAGCAATAATCACGCGTTTGTGAAGACACGCCACGGTTGAAAAAAAATACGTAAGAGAAAGAAAAGCGACCTAAGAAAGTTGGGTTGCGTGACAAAATATCGTTCCGCAATGACGTTTGTAAATTATTGCACCAATCAAATTGACAGCTTATGTCCGCATAAGCTAAGCATTAAACACATTTTTTGATCTGAACGATATATAACCAAAGACAATCCCCAGAGTGCACTTTATCAAAATTCTTTATTTATTATAAACAACTTACTTAATTTTAAAAAACTATGAAAAAAACACCTGGAACAAATAAGTTCCGTGCAAAACCTGCTTTACCGCCTCAGGAGCAAACGTGTGTGTTATGTAAATACAGTACAATTAATCGACACTCTTTTAAAGTGCATCAAAGATCAGGACACCACTTAGAACTTCTGGAGGCGATTCAGTCCAATCAAGGATCACTACCTGCCAATGACATCGAACAACAGTAAGTGAGCGTCTTCTTCAATTTAAAAATATTCAGTTTGTACTTATCATTATTATTTTAGGAATACCTCTGACGAACAACCTACTATCCCGCTAAGCGAATCTCGTAGTTCTGATATGGAGTCCATTGAAAGGTAAAGTTATTTAAGGCTGTTAAATATATTCAAATTACTTACATCAATATACATTAGACCAATCCAACCTGACGCACTGCCGAACCATTGTCTGAACCTGCAAATGAATTTGATGAAAATCAATATGATGATTATGATGGTGACGGTGATGATGATGGGCGTGATGATGGTGAAGAAGAATTCGATGGTGGTAATGCCTTTGACCATTTCAACAATGATTTTAACAACGGAGGGGAATCTGATGATGATAGCGAATCTAATGAACCTCCCGTTCCTGTTAACGACGTCAACAACGGCTCTAATGGTGATGGTGGTGATGATGGTAATGATGAATATCTTGATTTGAGTGGTGATGTCAACGACAATCCAGCATATCCTTTCAAAAATGAATACATAATGCATGCCCTTCTTTTCTTCAAGTCTGGTAGCTTTAAGTATTCAGAAGTCCAAATCAAATCAGTTCTTGATTTTGGTAAATATATGGCTGAAATTGCAATCAAAGAGTACAGAGCTCAACTAGCTTTGGATCCTTCTGATGTTATTTATGATTTCCGTGGCTATCCCACTCCCCACAGCGTTTCCAGATTTCACAAATCCAAGAAAAGTTGTATACCTTGTTTTCCTCATGCTCCCCATTGTGCGAAAGATGATAACGGCGGACTTCTTGTCGAACCTACTGAACCTGCCACATCAACTAGCGCATCTGGTACTGCTACAGCAGCTGACGCCTCTGCTCCTGCTCCTGCCTCTACCTCTGCTCCTGCCTCTACCTCTGCTCCTGCCAATACCTCTGCTCCTGCCAATACCTCTGCTCCTGCCACTGATCCTGCTGCAACAACAATAAAACTGCTTCTGCACCCGCTGTTCCTGTTGTTGTCGCATCAAAGCCTGACTTGTTTCTCAATGATGTATCTGAACACTTGCGACTTCTCGTAGGTAATCCCTGTATGTCTGGTTCCTGTCAGATCTTCCTGATCGAACACCTAACCAACGAATCAAGCTAAGTCAAGGTGAAAAGTGGAATTGTGATAGATTGTTTGAGCATCCCATGATAATTACTGGTCCAAATCTTCAACTCTGGGTATCGGATAAGGTCTCTTTGCTGTCTGAGAGCAATATTCCTCTTCGTGATCGCCATTATTTTAAAGTGGCCAAGATATTCCAAATATCAAAAGTTGTGAACGTTGATTGTATCCAATTAAACCCGATAATAATCTTGAAATGTGCTGTTTATACGACATCCTTCTCCACTGTCCCATAACCGACCTTGACATCAATAATGTCTTTCGTGCCGAACATGAATCCTTCGATGCATTTACCAGCTTACAACAAATAAATGGTGACGATTATCTTTGTTCTAGAGATGTTGTTGCTAATACTCGATTGATTCGCGCTCATCATGACATGATTGATACTGGTAATAAGTACAAGCGTCCACTGCCCATTAGATCACGTATAAGAAGCATAAATCCCAATTCGCCAAACTACCAGGTCGTTAGAGTAATTCCGTACAACCTTTTCTCTGATGATACCAGTGGTAATTCCACATCAAAATGGAATTGTTTCGATTCGTGGTCGATGAATCCTGCCGCTGTTCCTCTTAGTGTTGCCAATCATTATTTGAATCAATTTTTTATATGTGGATCAAATCGCCATACTGCTATGGAACAGTTGCCTTCCCTTGTCCCCGATTTAAAGAAACTGGAAACTGGTCTGCCGATGTTTGATGCTATTCTCAAGGAAGAAGTCTTTGTTGTTGCTCCTCTTTTGTTTATCAAGGCTGACAATCCTCGTCATGCCGAGGTTTCTTGTTTGAAAGCTTCAACAGCTACTTATCCGTGTAGAAAATGCTTCTGGTGTCGACATGCTGATGCTTTTGATCCTAATAGAATTACCACGGCCGAAGAACACATGTCAGTTCCAAGAGAAAAAGGTCACTGGATGAGTTTATTTCCAAGCGATGACTCGGATAGTACTGATTTCTCGATACGTGTTCGTAACAGACAGGGTGATTATATCATGGTCGAAAACTTGATGGACCTCGGCTTCAAGGAAACTGCTGGCAAAAGGCTTTTGACGTTGTCTTCTTGGGATCCTAGCAAGGATACACCGGTAGAAATTCTGCATGGCCTATGTCTCGGTTTAATCAAATACACGTTCAACAAAGCTGCTGATTGCTTTTTCAACAAGAAGCAGGTTGATCGCATTAGTATTTTGTGTGCAAAGTATGGGTCTAAGGCTTTTACCAATTTGTCGACGCATCTCAAAGGATACAAAAGCTTTCTTGGAAGAGACTTCAAACTTATGATTCAGATGCTCCCAATTGTTCTCAGAGTTGCTCGTGACCACATTGATTTCCTCAACCTTCGTAATGATCAATTCCACCGAATGGATAACGTTATTAGTACTTTTGATAAGCTTGGTGAGCTTTGCTCATTGTGTTATAACTGTGAAATACATACCAACTTTTCTGCCTATCTCGATTTATTGCGTCAATCCGTTGATGATACTGTTATTGCTCTGGATAACCTTGATCGTACCGTTGTTCCCAGTAACCGACGTACTCGTGGAGAGCCAGCAACAGCAACGACAACTGCATCAGTGCCCAGTCAAACTACTTCTGAAGAGATCTATGGTCTTTCTGGTGAACAATCTAATGGTGCTACGATTCCATACGCCAAAACTGGTGGTCCATTGTGTAATCGTTTAAAGACTCATTTGATAGTCCATTTGGTAGAGGATTGTCTTCGATTTGCTTCTCCTGTGCTTCTCGCAACTGAAAAGAACGAGCAATTCAACAAACACATTAGGGCAATTGTCATGAAGACCAACAAACAAAACCCTTCTCGTGATTTGGCTCTTATTAACGGTCGTGAGGTAATGCTGAGAAGTATTGCGATGGGTCTTGTTTGGGATAACGGTATGAAAACTCGTGGTAGTCTGGTCAAAGCGTGGTTCGATAGGTACAGTGAGGACATGTACTATTCTGCTAATCGGGAATTCGGCAGTACTGAATATATTGCTGGAAAGAAGATTGCTTTAAACATGACGGCTATTCTCGATGTTGACTTGGATTCTCTTGGGGCGCGTCGTCTGCTTGGAAAGGTGGTAAAACTTCGCGGCGATCAGGCTATTGTTGAGGTGTATGAACTTGTTCCCAGGCCAGCCTTCGTGATTCATGATGACAGTAGCCTCATTTCTGTCTATCAAGCTGACGAAGGTGGTAATCTCCTCACCAAGAAAACTGAAGAAATCTTGGACTTGCTGAAGTATAAACTGACTGTGGTGGAATTACTTGACATGTCTCAGGAAACTGAGATTGACACTGTCAAATATTCTCTTATCAACAAGTGCAAGTTCGGTACTTTCTGGTGGCTCCATAACACTAATCGTTATTTCAAAATTTTAGAAAATGAAAGAAACTAATCATTTTGTTTTTTTTTACATGTCATTTTTTCAAAAAAATAAAAGTCTCTTCCATTTTGTTATCCAATAAAAATGCTTAGCTGCACGAATCGCTATCCTGACCCCCATAAAAGACGCTAAAGTAGTTTTCAAGGTGCACGAAACCTTCATTCAGTTGTTTATTTCATAACATCTGGCCTTCAATCACGTATTTTGTTTTTTCGCCCAATCGCAAAGTTTTATTTTTTTAAAAAAAAATTCTGACACGGGAATTTACTTTTTGGTGCAGAATTTAAGAAATATTTAAAGTTTTCAACTGGTTGTGTAGTGGCATAATCACCACGGTTGTCCACAGTTTCTCTGGAATGGGAGCTGTATGTAACAGGCGGGTTTGTAGTTGGCATTGGTATTGTTGCCTGCTCCATCAAATCATGAAACTCCCAGTGTTGAAGAGGTGCACTACCAGTAGAATTAGCATCGTCTCGTCTGCTTCGATACTTAGCATGAAGAGCATGCCATTTAGTGGTCATGGCACAGATGTCTCTTCGGCCATTGACGGCTGCGTTGTCATTGAAGGCTTTTTCTGTCTTTTGGATTAAAGCTCCTTTGCCTCACTTGAGCTAGTCAAACCCGCTTCAACAAGATACGCAGGAAAAATTTCAATCAATACATGTGTGCTTGGTGAATCCCAGTTAAGGTTGGTGTTAGGCTCTGGTACGGAATCGGCAGCAGAAACTGGATCAGCAGCAGGAGGAGGAGCTTGCTCGGTAGCAGGAACAGGACCAGCAGAAGGAACAGGACCAGCAGAAGGAACATGTTCGGAAGATGGTGCAGGTACAGAAGAAGGGGTAGGTACAGGTACGTCAGTGGGAATCTGTGCAACAAACGGAGGGTTTACTCTGGGTCGGCCTCTTACCACAGGAGGGTTTGGGCGTTGGCCATTGATGAAGTCAGCACTTGAATAATTTTGGAAACTCATATCTGTAAAATAAAATAGAGATGGTAAAAAAAAAGTAAATCGATCAAAATAAAAGGCTATTATTGAAAAATAAAACAACATTCGTGTTTTCAGTAATCGGATTTGGACATTAAATAATCTGATAGAAGGTTTTTGGGGCCTGCAGATTTTAATTCTTCGTTTGGAGAATTCGGAATTTTTAGCACTGAAAATATTCAATTTTGTTATTAATCGTCCATATATATTATTAAAATTTTAAAAGATTCTATTTGGAAAAACTGTAACCTTTCACAAAAAAAAAAAAAAATTAATGTCCTTAATCGGGATCTTTAAAAAATAGTTTGATGTGCTTGCGAGGGCCCTTAAGCTATTAAAACTATTTGCACATCTTTATAAATTGTTTTCCACTTTTAAGAAATATTTTTTTATCCTTGTCTTGTAGTGCCTTTTTTCTAACAGCTTTCGGCTTCAGACGAAATTAATTTTTTTTGTTTCTATAAATTTTGTTAGCGGCGTAAGAAACGGTTGTTTAGCAATCTGTAGAATGTACGATGTTTAAAAATGTGTCAGAAAAATAATATTTGTTGATATTGTTATTTTCTTGGTTTAATAGTGAGGAATTATCTTTAATACCTCATCCATTAATTTTCCCTTTGCTGGATACGTATTTCAAGTGTATTTCACTTCTTTCGATGGTCTAGAAATTTAGGATTGACGGCTTTTGGGGTTTCTATCGTGTTACCACTAACTTTTTGAACTCATGATTACCCTTTCAAATATTTGAACATATACTTGGAATACACAGCGGCAAATTTGTATCGTACTCCTTACTAAATGTTATGTTTTAAGGTAAAGTAAAATTATAAAAAGACTACCGGAGTAGTTTGAGACTGTTTATAAGATTGTCTTTTAATAATAAACGAAATGTACCAGTATTTATATAAAAGACTGTCGGCTGTGTTCATGTCTCAAGCGCTGTCTTGAAGTTGTCCTAGATCAACCAAAAATGTATACAATTATTACATAGTACTACTTTAGTCTTGTTCTAATAAATCTGAAGTTTTTTTAAATCTCCTTGCTTTAAACAATATTTTAATTATTTCTCAGACGTACTAAATTGGACTTGCGCTGTAATATCCTTATAGTTCTTACTATGACATTTATTGTAAAGCTTATATCACAAATGCTATCAGCATGGATAAACCTTTGTCAGCTCTAATATGGCTATATTCTTGCTAGGTCACCACACACTCCTCGGGTATTGTAGTCATGTCTATTTAATTCTATTTCTGTATTCAAGATCTTATCTGTTTTTTCTTTTTTTTTTGAATTAAACTTTTTCTACTCTCATCCATTTTATATATGTTAATACTAATTGATATAATGCCTGTTTCTTTGGTCCTCACCTTAATAATTATTCTGTTCCGCTCTTGCCCCGCTCCACTCCTCACCGGCCCACTAATTTGAACAAGTCGTCTTGATTAATTCTGTTTATAGCTCCGTTAATTACACCATTACTTAAAGCAGTCTCCAAAGCAATGATACGATTAGAGCAGCATTGGACGAAATAAAAATGTGATAGACTAAAAAATGTGTGACATGTTTGGGATAAAAAATATTCCAGTAAAGGTTATAAAAAAGAAGAGTTTAACATCTTATAAGAGTGATAATAGCTTATACATTTTTTATGAAGCGCTTTTAACCAGATCAATAACTTAATAATAACAAAAGACAGAAAATAGAAAATGTTCCCAAAGTGTCCCTATGATATGAGTATGTGATGTCGTTACAAAATACAATAACCTCAAACAGTTAGGATAGTTTAGAGGTCACTGTATATATATTTTTGAAATACAACGCACGTTTAAGGACGTTCCGATATGATTTGCGACTTATCTTATATGTGAAATTAACTAAGATAATTCCCATACAAGCTTAGAATGCTTGAACCATTTTTGAACCGTTTCCAATTACTTATAATCTATTTAGGTTGTTATTTAAACGTAATCAGTGAACCCGTAAGTGTCGGATCAGTATTGATAACTACCAGAATTCCCTGAAGTATCGCATAACAACGGATAGCGGACCGGATTACCCTGAATTCAACGGATTTTGAGGGATAACGGACCGGAGTACCCTAAAGTCAACGGATTGGCAGGGATAACGGACCGGAGTACCCTGAAATCAACGGATTTTGAGGGATAACGGACCAGAGTACTCAAACCTATTGGATCTTGACGGATAACGGACTAGAATTCTCAGATTTGTATGATTTAGGCTGCTGACATGAAACAAAATATATTGAGATCTTAAATAGGAGATGTACTAATACAGACAAGCTCCGTTTTTTTTTTTAAAAAATGTTTTTTTATTAATATTTTTTTCCTAAATTGAATTCTGTCAAAAATAATGTTGTCATATTTTTTATTATTAATCTATTATTAATCTACCGCTTAAAAATGACAAATTTGTGGGCATGGAATGTGAAGCCTCCAGAAATAAACGGTCCTAAAATGGACTACTAAAATGCCCAAAATACAAAATAAAATTTTTATTACTGTTTCCTTACACAACCAAGTGTAAGCTTTAAAATTTCAAGACCATTTTTTTCCCAAAAAAAAAGTAAAAATAGATATGAAAAGTGTTTCCTTTTTGGTTTTGGGGTTTTGTTTACGTTTCCTTGCTGTACAAATAAAACAATAAAATACAAATACAAAACACGAAAATAGTTTTTTTTTAAAATTGCCTTAAAAAGCGAAATTTATTTATATAAAAAATTGGCCCACAAAATCAGAAACCGGCAGAAAGCGCCTGTTTGCCCATCGGGGCTACGCAGGCCGACCAGGCAGGCTATTCAGCCTTGACAGACAGGGCAGACCACGTAGCCCAGACAGGCCACGTATGACACGTATAGCAGACAGTGAATTCAAGCTAGAAAACCCACGCAAAACTGATTCTGTTTGAGCTGAAGCTACGGAAAAAGGTATTAATGTGATATTCAAGTGTCTGTGGTAGATGTTGTACTTACATTTTATCCGTGCTTAAGCAGTATCACGAGCTAATTTATAAAGTGAATAATGTGTTTAGTAAAACGGATAATGATTAACATTAAAATTATAGTACCTTGTACGAAGCTTTACGCTATATATCTTATGACAAATGAAACGCGTTATGTATTAGTTTAGGATGTGAAATAATCACCAAGATATTAATTACGGTATTTCAAAGAGAAAAGAGACTCTAAAAAAATAAAAAGGCGTTTGTTAATGATATATTATTACAGGGAAGCACAGTACAGAATAAAGTATACCTTTATAGATACACATCCTGAAAGTAAAAGGGGATAGAAGATTATATTATTGCATAAGTCCTGAAATAGCTACCTTTTTCGCGTTTGACTTTGATTAAATTGACTGTGAGAGAAGAATTAGTAGAATACCTTATGATAGTATTGTTCAGACATATGTTCTATGACATACCATTGTTCATAAGCATCATAATATTACAAGCAATAATCTCGCGTTTGTGAAGACACGCCACGGTTAAAAACAAATACGTAAGAGAAAGAAAAGCGACCTAAGAAAGTTGGGTTGCGTGACAAAATATCGTTCCGCAATGACGTTTGTAAATTATTGCACCAATCAAATTGACAGCTTATGTCCGCATAAGCTAAGCATTAAACACATTTTTTGATCTGAACGATATATAAACCAAAGACAATCCCCAGAGTGCACTTTATCAAAATTCTTTATTTTATTATAAACAACTTACTTTAATTTTAAAGCACTATGAAAAAAACACCTGGAACAAATAAGTTCCGTGCAAAATCTGCTTTACAGCCTCAGGAGCAAACGTGTGTGTTATGTAAATACAGTACAATTAATCGACACTCTTTTAAAGTGCATCAAAGATCAGGACACCACTTAGAACTTCTGGAGGCGATTCAGTCCAATCAAGGATCACTACCTGCCAATGACATCCAACAACAGTAAGTGAGCGTCTTCATCAATTTAAAAATAGTCAGTTTGTACTTATCATTATTATTTTTAGGAATACCTCTGACGAACAACCTACTATCCCGCTAAGCGAATCTCGTAGTTCTGATATGGAGTCCATTGAAAGGTAAAGTTATTTAAGGCTGTTAAATATATTCAAATTACTTACATCAATATACATTAGACCAATCCAACCTGAACGCACTGCCGAACCATTGTCTGAACCTGCAAATAAATTTGACGAAAATCAATATGATGATTATGATGGTGACGGTGATGATGATGGGCGTGATGATGGTGAAGAAGAATTCGATGGTGGTAATGCCTTTGACCATTTCAACAATGATTTTAACAACGGAGGGGAATCTGATGATGATAGCGAATCTAATGAACCTCCCGTTCCTGTTAACGACGTTGTCGTGATCGAGGCTATATACTTAATATATGACTCTATCTACACTTCTTAAATCTTCCATTTGATAATCCTAAATATAATTCTTATTGGTACTTTATATTAAATACTGATCATTTACTTTATGTACAGGCTTGATCTCATATCATCCTTCATACAAGTATAAGGCATACATTTAAATAATAACATGAATATGAAAACATATGAAGGTTACATCAGCCACGTTGAGGTGCCACAGCTGTCTTTAATAAGAACTACATTTTCCCCTGAATGTTGTGCTACAAGACATACACAGTTTAAGAATGAATGTTATTGTTATTGTTATTGACATCTCATTATGGTCTTTCTATATGGGATCATTACATCCGAGTATTATCTGGATAAATCTACCCATAACCGTCATCAGCCCATCTGTGATCAATGTCTGAAATAATGTGTATATAAAGACCCCCTTTTATTTGTTTAATAAAGCTTTAGTTTATTTTTGCAGTTTGATAATTTCACTTTGTTAAATTTTACATTTTTTCTTAATTCGCTATTATCACTCTCGAATTTCTCAGACGTCAACAACGGCTCTAATGGTGATGGTGGTGATGGTGGTGATGGTGGTGATGGTGGTGATGATGGTAATGATGAATATCTTGATTTGAGTGGTGATGTCAACGATAATCCAGCATATCCTTTCAAAAATGAATACATAATGCATGCCCTTCTTTTCTTCAAGTCTGGTAGCTTTAAGTATTCAGAAGTCCAAATCAAATCAGTTCTTGATTTTGGTAAATATATGGCTGAAATTGCAATCAAAGAGTACAGAGCTCAACTAGCTTTGGATTCTTCTGATGTTATTTATGATTTCCGTGGTTATCCCACTCCCCACAGCGTTTCCAGATTTCACAAATCCAAGAAAAGTTGTATACCTTGTTTTCCTCATGCTCCCCATTGTGCGAAAGATGATAACGGCGGACTTCTTGTCGAACCTACTGAACCTGCCACATCAACTAGCACATCTGGTACTGCTACAGCCGCTGACGCCTCTGCTCTTGCTCCTGCCTCTACCTCTGCTCCTGCCTCTACCTCTGCTCCTGCCAATACCTCTGCTCCTTCCACTGATCCTGCTGCAACAACAAATACAACTGCTTCTGTACCCGCTGTTACTGTTGTTGTCGCATCAAAGCCTGACTTGTTTCTCAATAATGTATCTGAACACTTGCGACTTCTCGTAGGTAATCCCTGTATGTCTGGTTTCCTGTCAGATCTTCCTGATCGAACACCTAACCAACGAATCAAGCTAAGTCAAGGTGAAAAGTGGAATTGTGATAGATTGTTTGAGCATCCCATGATAATTACTGGTCCAAATCTTCAACTCTGGGTATCGGATATGGTCTCTTTGCTGTCTGAGAGCAATATTCCTCTTCGTCATCGCCAATATTTTAAAGTGGCCAAGATATTCCAAATATCAAAAGTTGTGAACGTTGATTTGTATCCAATTTAACCCGATAATAAGCTTGGAATGTGCTGTCTATACGACATCCT